TACAATAATCATGTGTAGATGTACAATAATCATGTGCAGATGTACAACAACTCTGTGCAATAATCTTTAATGTACAATAGTGTTCTGTGCTATATGACAGTTCTTTTTATCTTGTAAATAGTTATTTTTCCTCCTATATTTTTCCTTTCATCTTTTTTTTTCATTCATTTATATTTTGACACTGTGAGGACAACACTTAAATTTGTTGGACATGTTACGATGCCATTTGACAATAAAGATATTTTGATGCTGATTCTGGTAAACACTTAACAAATTTCTGATTTTATTTGAATGAAGAACTTGTTTTTTTGGCATCATTGACCGTGATCATGGACCTGTTACACCTTACGCCTTTCCCACCTCAGCACTGCTTTGATGCTCAGGCCTCAGGCTGCAGAGGAGAGCCACACTGATTGAATTCTCATGTGAAAAACCATTTAAAAAAAGAATTAACGTAAACAGGATAAGCCGGCTGATCTTGGTTTTCCAAGAGATGTTCAGAAAGCAGACTCCTGCTGCTCCATTCCTGACTCAGCTCATCTACAAGACTGATGAGAGAATTTATTACAATAAACCAACACCAAGCTGAACACTCTGAGCAGCAGACACTTTATAAACCTTTCACCAGTGAACGGGTTTATAAAGTCTACAACGCCCTGGGAAAACACCAGGATCCTGTGGTGTAAAGAGATGAAACCAACATAAATCACTTCAACACTTTCTATGTCTTACTGACATCTCTACATCTCAACTGTTTGGAGGAAATCCAACAAAGTTCTGCCTGGTCATCTGGACGGTTCCTTATTTTGTTGAGACGTTTCGTCCTTCATCCAAAGGACTTCATCAGTCCAAGGAGCCATAACAAACTGAGTCTCACAAGCAGCACACTCACATATTGAATCAACCAGTTTGCTAGTGATAAGATGGTTTCTGGAGCCCGCTCTCTCCCCGTTGACTTCTCTAAGGCAGCCATAGCTGAAGTGGTTCAAAACATCAAAGTACTTACTTACATATTATGATAATTGAAGGAAAATAAAAAAAATGCTTAAAGACAGTTGCACATGTACAGAAACATAGTTTGTTGGAGCACCTTTAGGTTGATTTCCAGCCTTTGTTCTCTGGAACCCATCCGTCCTTGTTTGAAGTGCGTCTGATCCAGCTGAAGTAAAGTTCTGTTCTCCTGAAAGACTTCCGGACAAATGGGCCTTTTCCACAGCTCCTCTTCAGCATGACTCAACTCAGTCCGGTACGCTTCCAAGACTTTTACCACTAGCACTTTTTTTTTGGAACCGGCACCTTTTTACTGTAGTTCCTTCTTCTCTGGCGTACCAATCGAGCCGAGCCGGCACCAAAACATGACGTCAGAACACTGTGGGTCACTGATTGATCAGGGGGCGGAGTCACTAGAGGGGTTTGAGAATTTTTCACAACACTCGATCCGCCATTTGCAATTACCGGTGTTCGAACTCGAGGATTTTTTGCCTTGCATGCTCTGCGGGCTTCGAGCTCTGCTGGTCACCCTGGAGGATCATACGAGCTGGTGACTTGCAGAAGGCCAGGGTCTGGACCCCGGCCTCGAGTGATCATGAAGGTCGAACCCCGATCCGGGCAGACGGGTGGACCGTGATGTGTATGGGGCGGAGGGTGGAAACGATTTTTAAAAATCAGTGGTGGAGAAAGTCCTCAAACTCTGTACTTAAGTAAAAGTACAAATAAACAGACAAAAATGTACTCTAGTAAAAGTAGAAGTACCACATTAACATTTATACTTAAGTAACATTAAGTAAGTATTTGCTTTAAAAAAATACTTATAGTATTAAAAGTAAAAGTACTTGCTGAATGTATTACCTAATGCAATGGTCTACAATATCATTAAGTGTACCTATTGTATGTATATTTTCTGTAATACATTAATAGTGTTGAGTCATTTTAATGAACAATGCTGCAGATAATACATGTTTTTATTGTGTTTACTCTGTGACACAGTTCACACCTGCACTTGTGATTCTGTGTCAGAATTTCAGGGATGACATGCAGAGTTAATGCCATTAAGCAAAATAAGGAAGAGGAATGATTATACCTTTGAAAGTTTTTATTAAACACAAAGCAAAACCAATGTGTCCTTTTAACTGCAGTAAACACATTTAAGTAAAAGTTGTCTGCCTGAAAAAAGGAGCATTAGACACAACTAACAAAGGAACATCTGATTATTTCAGCTCCAGTTTGTCATCAACTCTAGTTAAAATACTGTCTAAACCTTGTAATGGGTCAATAGTGAACATTTTAACTTCATGACACCATTTTCAAAACTTGGACCCGAGTGTCGAGCCATTTGGAGACATCTCTTGTCTCCTGTCCAACAGTCCATGATCTGACACATTTTAATATCGCAGCAAGAATTTCTTGTTCAAGTTCAGAAGAAATTGGTTTTCAAAGTTTTTTGAGTCCAGTCTGGCTCAGGAAAGAGAATCTGTCCTGTTGTACTGAACAGTCTTTCAATAATCTTTCAATAGTCTTTCAATAAGCTTTCAATAAGCTTTCAATAAGGCCATGGGTGGAGCGTATCTTCTGGCTGACTCTCTGTGGAGGAATCCATTCTGGGTGTGTTAGTGGTGCTGTGGGTGCACCCAGATCAACGACATATATACTAGAATATACATCGATGGTCCAGCTCTTCTTCAAGGTGGGTCTAACGTTACCTGTCCACTTTGCAGTGATTCACTGGACCAACTCCTCTCTCACCATTAATTATTTTCAAACTAATGAACAGATAAAAAAAAAAAAACACAACATGGATGTAACTTGTAACACAACACATT